ACATGCATGCGTACATGGATACCTACATAGCTGCATAATTCTACACGCTACATAAGAACACGCACCAAACATGCTTAAAAACCTGTATATCTCGACTCGAAGAGGCTTCTACACCAGCTTTCCTCTGCACATCTCCCAAAACCTTCTTCAAAACTTGCAACTTCAAAGCATGCAGCCGCACTTACGATGCCCTGCAGACTCCACCCTAAACCCTAAGCCTTAAATCACAAACCCAAAGGGTCCTATCATTATGGTATGTACTTAGACCCCCAAAATACCCTATAAGTATAGACCATAATGATACTTGGACCCTTTGGGAAAGTTAGCCTGAACCCCTAAACCCCTAAACCCTAAACCCCAAACCCTAAACCCCTAAACCCCTAGCAGATAAAATGCGGAACCGAAAAGCAACGCCCCCGGGCTGCCTCAGAGCATCTTCCTGAAAGGGTCGAAGCGAGGGATGGCCCCAGTGTCGCCTGGTCCGGCCCGGGTTTCTTTGGTGGTTTTCAAGGGCCTAGGGCTTCGCTCTTTATGCAAAGGGGAAAAGGAGGGACCCTTACCCTACAATGGGGCTATATAATGGCTATATTAAGGGTATATACGCTAGGGTTTAGAGTTTAGGGGCTTAGGGTTTAGGGCGTTAGGGGTGAGGGTTGTAGGTTTAGGGTTTTGGGTTAGGGTTTAGCTTCTGGGGTCTTCCGTGGCTTTCAGGGTTTAGGGTTTCAAGGGCTGCAGGCTTTATAGGGGATTGGGTTTAGGGTTTAGGATTTAGGGGTTGTAAGCACTTCATACTAAGTTAGCAGGGTTAAAATGGGGGCTAGGAGGAAGAACCGTTTCATACTGGTGTTTACAAGGGTAGGGGTTCAGGGATTTGCAAGGGTCTTGCGGTTCAGACTTGAGGGTTTCGGATGAGAAGAAACCTTATGATACCTACTCGCGGGTATTCAGGAATGAAGTACTACAGGCCCAAAGGTCGGGCTTGAAGAGCGCACAGGTTATAGCGGATGCAAGTTTGAAGGTGGCGCTTGGAGCTTTCTGGTTTCTGGGCTATTTGGGAGGACCATATAGGCTTGAAAGGTTGGGATCGAGAATCTAACTGACTCTAGCCGTTGCTCTTGCTGTGGAATGCCGGGGTGCTGGTCGAGTGGGAAACCCCAGGGATCAGCATCGCAAACATAGGGCCTTAACAACTAGAATAGGGTTTTGGGAGCATATTTTACTATAGGTGTAATAAGGAACATTGTTAATTGTTTAGGCCCTGTATTAGTTGTCTAGGGCCTTCACACCCTAAAGGACCTAGACGACCAAGTTCAGAGGGAACTCGAAGAAAGCACACTGGATCTTACGGTTTAGGGTTTAGGGTTCAGGATCGATTTAGGGCATCGTTCGACAGTCTTCACGTCTCTACTCTTTGCAACCTCCACAGATACGAATTTCCAAGCATTCAGCCCCAATTCAGCCGCTAGTCTGCTCCACAATCACGACACACTGCCGAGGAAGCGTGACAATGGCTTACCCATAGGCTCCATAGTAGGTCCTTTTTGGGATTACCCCAAAGGATTCTAAATATGAACCCCCAAAACGAACTGCTAAGGAGCCTATGGGTATCACTTAGCGAAACCCAAGACGCGAAAGCAAACATGAACCCAACTTTCATTGGAGCCCTAGAATTGAAGCACTCGTGAAACTCCCAAAACGAAAGCTCTAGAATCCAACTTAGATTGCCCTAAAGCCTGAACCCTAAATCCTAAGCCCTAAACCCTGAGCCCCAAATGAATCCTACAAACAGATCAGGAAAGGCGCCTCAAAGCTACCAGGGCTGCTTGTAGATCCCTTTCTGCGGCTTCCGAGGTTCGTCGGCACATGGGAAGGATATTCCTTCTCTTCTAGGTTTGTGGGTTTAGGTTTATTTGCTCTCTTCTAGGTTTTGAGACGTGAGCTATTCATTCTCTTCTAGGTTTGTGGGTTTGGGGGTTTTACAGGTTCCTTTCTACAACAAGGGGTTGCGCATCCTGAGCCGTGCTTAGGCCTCTCAAGCCCTATAAACCTGCTGAAATCCTGGAACCCGGAAATCCTAAAACCTGGTTAGGGATTCGAGCTGTCGGGTTGAGGCAATGGAAGCCTCGATAGAGAGGCCTAGGGCTTGAGGAAGCTCAAGGGCTTCAGTGGTTAGGGTTTGGGGGCGTTTAGTTTGGGGTTTGGAGCGTTTGCAGTTGAGGATTTAAGCTTTAGGGGTTTAGGGGTGTTGCGGGTAGGCTTTCAGGTCTATAGGTTAAGGGCTTGAGGCGTAGTGTAGGGGTTTGAGGGATGGTTTCGGCTTTTGGCGGCCAGTCTTGCTTTCAAGAATCGCTGGGCTCCCCAGAGACTCCAATATCCCTCAGTTAAGGAATATTCCTTAAATTATAGTAGGATCCCTAATATGATTTAAGGAATATTCCTTTGTTAGGGGATATTAGAGTCCCGGGGTCCCCTGTCTTTAAAGCGCAAACGGCTCTGGAGGTCGCCGCATCGGTCCTAAACCCTAAACCCTACGAGCCCGACCGGGTGGGAGCAACAGCAGCCACGGGCTCCACAAGGCTTCAGTGTCTCCACTGTGTAAAGGCTCCAAAGTCACTTCTTTGCAGGATTGTGTTTTGAAGCTGTCTGTCTTCAGGTATGTACTCTCAGGACAAGCACCAAGCAAAGGCTGCTATATCACGCGGCTTCTTGAATGGAGGAGTCGCATGACATCTGCATAGAAACAACAGCATGGATGTCTCACAGTCGGAGGGATTCCAGATCTTGCCCGAAGTGAACCCCGAACCCTAAACCCTACAAGCACATAAGCTCTTAAAGCCCGAGGTGCTAAAACCCCTAAGCCGCCTAAGCCCCTACCGGAAGGATGGGACGATTATGTACCGGCACTGTTGTCTGCAATACGCGCTCTCTTCACCACTCCGTCCCTGGAGGGGGCTGGGTTAAGAAGACCCGACGGTTGTGTTTGTTCGGCTCGGGGCTAGAGGCACAGGGCCGAGGGGGTGTCTGCATGAGTGTAAGTGTGTGTATATATATATATATATACAATATATATATATATATATACAATATATAAATATATATATATATAGAGAGAGAGAGAGAAAGGGAGAGGTCATAAACCGATCTATCTGTCTATCGATCTATCTATTTATCGAATGCATGCATACATACACACATACATGCATACATACATGGAGCTTCGGGCTGACAACCTGGACTGTCAGCTACTGCCAACCCTAAGGAAATATTAAATCGAGCCGTCGTAGGCCCCCGGATATTCCGAGTTACGGTGCACCAATCAAAGCTCTCAGCGGGGTCTATACTGAATTACCTCGAGGATCGAACAGAGTATAGCCACATAGTATAATCTAGCTTGAGGCTCCCAACGATGACACCTGAATTTGAAGTTGATGACTGTGGCAGCTCTTCCGGACTGCACCAACCTCAACCCCTGTACGCTCCAAGCCACCGGGGTGCCAGATTTGGGGACAGACCACAGCATTGGGTGATCTTGTTGTCGTTTTCTTTTGTTGCTCCCTGTCTGCCTCATAACTTACGTAATGCCTGCAAGCTGAGCTGGAAACCAGGTCGGCCTTCTGCCCACAGTATACACTTCGCCCACAGTATACACTTCAGTTTTCTCTATCCATCTACGACTGCAGATGCCACTACCACTGCCAGTGCCTTCACGCACAGACAGATAGACACAGGGACAGACTTAGAGACAATGAGTCACGGAAAGACTCACGAACCACAGTTTCAATCTCAGGACGAACCAATCACGGGTCGTCAGCAAAGCGCTGGAAACACTGCACCTAGTTGTCGCAACGACTAGAACCCCAAACATATGGCCAATACCATGCCAGAGTCGGGCCTGGTAAGCTCAAGCAGTCCGTTTGGACCGGGTGGTAATTCGGAGGGACCTTCAAATCGAATGCAAGCTTGCAAGCCTTGGTGGTATTCCCAAAAAGGTCCAAGTAATAGTGTGGAAGATACTTTTGGGGAACAGACCCAAGACTTCCGACCATCCCGCAACTAAGCCCATCTTGAATGTCAATTCGACAGCCCCACTCCCTCTCCCAATTTGTTCTCCCAGAAGACCCCACAGACATGTCGCCTGCAAGGCACCAAACCCCAAACCAAGTTTGAACAACGAAGAGGTCTTGCAGACTGCGATCGGTGACGCGCGGTCCCTCCACTCTCACCCTAGGGCTCCAGTTACTTACATAGTAAGTTACTGGGGTATATAATATATATGGTTAGTACCCTCTTATTTACCTAAACAGTGGGCTCCTGGGGTATATAATATATGGTTAGTAACCTACAATATGTTTGGGTAGCTGGAGCCCGGGGGTCAAGTAAAAGGAGGGCTACGCACAGCCAGCAAGCCTTGTTGTCTGGCAGGCCGGGCTGTGCCCAATTCCATTAAAGGCCTCCTGAGAGGGATTCTAAACGCTGCATGGGATACCTCGTGGCTAGTGCTCGGTCCACGTCAATATCACAGCGAGTGGGATTTGTCAACGCCCAACGATTTTACCTTCAAGCTCGCCATGTTGAGATGGGAGAAGCTACAAGTAAGCTCCTGAAGCCTACGGAAGTTTGTTTTTGAAGCAGTTCGATAGTCCCCGCTCTACAAGTGGACAGCCCCAACAACGAGGATTTCGAGTTGCGGATTGCCGGCTGGGAAATGGATTGTTAATAGTTCTTATGGACGAATGCGGTTTGGGTCTAGTGTTCAGGACAGACTTCATTCAGAGAAAAACAGATTCCACTGAACCCTTAAGCCCAACCCTTCGGATATCCCAGCAATGTCTGGCGGCCGTCTTGCTCGCCGCAGTAGGGCCCGCCTCAATTCTGCCAAAACGGCCTTAATAATTAGAATACGGTTTTGGGACCCATTATAACTGTTCTTCTGCAATAAGGAACCCCCCCAAAAAATAATTTAGGTAATTACCATTAAGGCCTCAATCCTACACAAACCGTCATCGCAGCTTTCCCTCGTGAGAGCTGTCCGAGGACAGGCTCAAGGTCCTGAAAGGATGAGGTCTTTAATGTAGGCTGTTCAGTAACCCACTGGGAAAAAGTATATACTGTTAAAGCTTCATATTTTGTAATAGGAACCCAGAAACCTGAAAGTAAAAAGAGTGTACCACTGAACAGCCTGGTTAATGTAGGGACCTTGATAATTAGAACCGGGTTTGGGGGTGTAGTATACTATAATAAGGAGCCCCCAAAACAGTCTAGGTAATTTGTATTTAGGCCCCTATACTAGAGTTACTAGAGTTTTAGAGCTTTAGGATTGTAGGAGTTTAGGCGTTAGGGAAGTTTAGGGCTTCTAGGTCCTGGAAGGCTTATATAGGGTTTATAGGGTCGTAGAGCTTTAGGGCTTAAAGGCTTTGGGGCTCTCCGAGTTTAGGGCTTGTTATGTCGGCATTCCTGTTTTCGAGGCTCAGGGATCAGGGACCTAGATCCGCAAGCGAATCAACCTCAACGTTTTCGCTCCGAAGAGAAGCGGCAGCTTAACCCTCAACCCTACCTTCACCCTGCATAACCGACCTTTTGAGGGTTCCTTGTTAGGATTTCCTTGTAACTGTATAAGTCCTTAAAAAGGTAGGTTATTCCGGGTTAAGGTAATCCCACTCCAAGCCTGAGACATGAACTTTGAACGATGGACTCAAACCCGAGTGCGGAAGCTTCGCAAACGTAGTTCAGGATACTAAGTCTACTATAAGGGGCCAACGTAATGGTTAGAATCAGGGTTTGGGGCATATTAGGGGTGCAGATTGTTGTCAGGAGCAGACCATAAGTACCCTGAAGAGGTGGAGCTATTGTTTGGCTGAACAACCTTGCTCTAAAATATTCATGAGCAGCGAAAGTACCTACTTCTGCCGCCCCAAACTGCAGCTCCTTCCGCAGGCGTCCACTCCGAACGGATTGAATCTCTCGATACCTACAAGATGCGCAGGGCCCCAGCTGTCGTCTATGTGTGGTTCGTGGGAGCAGAGGGGAAGAGGAGAGAGTTTGGGGGTTTACAGTCATTTGCTTGTTGTATTCTAACCGGGTCAAGAGTTTAGGTCCGAGGAATTGGATTCAAGCTCTGCCGAGTGGAACTTGAGGGTGAAACTTCGTACACAGGCTCTACCTTAACCCTGAAGAACCTACCTTTTTAAGGACTTATATAATGAAATCATAATAGGGAACCCTGAAAAGGTAGGTTGTTCAGGGTTAAGGTAGGGTTCAAGCCCAGCAAGCTGTTTAAGGCCTGCCTAGGGGCCTAGAGTAACCCCGGTAGCTCTAAAAAGGTAAACGGACATATCTTGTTGTGGGCTACTTTGGCTACTGCAGGTAAGGCCTTGGTGCCAAGAGAGAAAGGGTGGCTAGCAGCTAGAAATGCGCAGCTCTGTGCACACTTTAACATTACATGAATGAATCTGCAGGAGCAAGCTCAAAGAACCGCACCCCTGTCCGCATGGAGGGAGCAAAAGACAGAGTGTAAGGACATGTTTATCATTTGTGATAATTGCAAGATACGAAACTATGCGCGGATGAGCTGCAGGTAGTGTCAAAAATGACCAGGGATTCCCATATCTGAACAAGGCTTTGGATGACCCCCATTTCTCGTGTGCCCTTAGCAACATGGCTTTTGTCGTTGCCTGGGTCCTCCAAAAAGCTCGCGTCGCAGGCCTGACAAGCCGGGCTGCGCGGTTGTAGTGTGGGAGGCTCCTTGCGGTTTAGGGTTTAGGGTTTAGGGGTTTAGGGGTTTAGGGGTTTAGGGTTTAGGGTTTAGGTTTTTTTTTTAAATGCAGTGACTCTTTCTGCTCAGCGCGAGGTCGAGCCCGCCACATGGGCTTGCACTCAAACAAAAACCCTGGTACTCTCAGAACTCCCCGAAGTCTCCCTGTGTGAGTCGTATCAACTGTAGTTGTTCACGAATCTCGACTTCGGCTGCGATCATTGTTGCGATTGTGTCTCGACGGAAGATCAGACGAGCTCGATGCTTCGCTTCGTCGACGTACAGTTTGATCCCGATGCCGATCATCCGAATCATGTTCTGCGTGGGGTCCTCCTGGTTCATGAGCAGCTCCTGGTCCTCGATCAGCTCCGGGTCCACGAGCAGGGCCTGAGCGAGCAGCACGAGGATCACGAGGATCACGACGAGCAGCACGAGGATCAGCACGGTGAACACCAAGTCCGGGTCGAACACGGGCAACCTGCATATCGGCATCATGCAGGATACCATCCACAGCTGTACGTACAAGTCGCGGTGGTGGTCGTCGAGCGGAGTGGCGCCGACGACCTCGTGGGGCAGTGAGTTCTCCAACAGATTCTGGTCGAGGAACATCTATTGGCCAATTCGGGATCGGCACATCCTCATCCTGTTGCACAACGAACAACTCTCTGTCATCTTCCGGCGGCCAGTGCCCGACAGGTACCGGACGATCTTCATCCTGAAAGATCCTCCTCGCAGATTCCCTCCAAGCTCTTCGTCGATAGCTGGCCAAGACATGATCAGGCCGACCAGGAAGAGCATAACGTAGTTCCTCAGATGTCGCTGGGAAACCCGGTGTCAACGAGGTCGCAGGGGCAACAACAGCAGTACTTGAAGTGGTCGGAGTAGGTTCATTGCCAAATCTGGATTCCTGTTCCACCGTGGTAAGGATATTCCGTTCGAACGTCCCAACATTCATAGGAACCGCTGAAAGGGACACCGGTAACCAACGTAGTGCTTCTTCCATCGCTGCCACAAGTAGCCTGTGTTGATGGTCAAGCTGACGTTGACGCCTCACAAGTCGCCTCAATAGTTCAGCCGTGTCTGCATGCCCTCCATGAACAAGATTGGTGTTGACCACATCCCGAACAACATCAGCCGGCCAAGTTAAGCCAACTACCCTCGAGGAAGTTGTTGAAGTAGTACTTGTCCACATGCCAACACCGTTCATGAAGTTCATCCCAGTCACTTGCCAGAGGGTCTGATAGTACAACTCGTCCTGCCACGATTCGACTCCATTCTCAACCAACTGATCCCCAGGTTCCAATGCACCATGAGTACCTGTGCTAGGACAAGTCGGAGACCAACTGGGTGTAGGGGAGGTAGTGGATGTGCTCGTCGTTGTAGTGACAGGCCAGGTCTGCATCCCCTCAGTGGTCGTTATAGTGGAAGAGGACGCGGCCGTCGATGGTTGCGTATGGCCCTCTTCTTCCTCCACAGGACTTCTCCATATCCCCATGAGCTCCGTCGGAGCGAGGTTGATTGTCGGCGACCCATGAACAGGAGCATTGACTGGTAGTGGCGGCGGAGGGCCAAAAGGACCACCAGATGGGGAGCGAGGTGGTACTACGACTTGTTCTCCATCAGAGTTGATGACAACCTCACTGTCCATCGTATAGGAAAATGTAAGGACGTTCCAGTTGGGCTTCTCGACCTCGTCCGTCTCGCTCGGCGCCGTTCAGCCCTGCGTCTCGTACCGCTACTGGAACTGGCTGCAACAGTTGTAGACTCCTGCCCACGTGATGTCTCCCCTGTTTCACTGACTAAGCTGTGGCTCTCCGCTGAGTCTGCTGGCGCAACCGGGGAGACCTCGGCATCGGCAGGCTGTAGGCGAACGTCGAGGCATCGTTGGAGCGTCTCGACAAAGAGGTCAACATAGTTTCTAGCCCAGTTGAACAAGCGCCACCTGTCTTCCTCAGAGCGTGGTACTCGTCTAACAGGCAAGTACCCTTGAAGGATAAATCTGCGGGAGATGACGGTATGCAAAGCCTCGAGTGCATCGATGCCATCCACCAACCGGTTGTACAGGCATCCAACTGCCCAGCGGCCTTCTGGTCCTCTGCCTTCATGTTGCATGCGATCCAGCGCCATGAATAGATTCTCCACTCTCTGTATCATGGTTTGGGGAACCCCACGCTCTTCTAGCCTGCGTCGTTCTGCCCCGGTCAACTGCATCATCACCAGGTCTTCTGAGTCCTCCTCATCCGAAGAAGGTGGAGCAGGGATAAAGATCGTCCCAGCTGGGCGAACATCGGGAAAGAGACCCCAGTTCGGTGGGAAGACGGGTGGCAGTCCAGGCAAAGATGTCGTTGATGATGAAGTCAGTGTGGTCGGCACAATAAAGTCCTCCCCTGGCCACGTAGTTTCGGAGCAAGTCACAGACGATGTGATGTTTGTAGATGTATCTGTCCTCCATGTACCTGACGAAGGGGTCGAGGTGGTCGTTGGAGTCGATGTAGTGTCATACCATGGTGTGGTAGACGATGAGCTGGTCGAGGTGGAGATGCTAGTAGCAGTTACAGAAGTCCAGGTCCTTGACGTCGTGGTTGAAGTGGTAGTAGACGATGTAGAGGGACTCCACTCTGTCCATGACCACCATCCATTGTACGTCCAGTCCCACTCTTCCCATTGTCCAGCTGTGTCCACATCTCCTCGCCATTCATCAGTGCCAGACCAGTCAGCCCATGATGTCCACCAAGTCGAACTCCAGTGCGATGACCACGAAGACCACGTAGTTTCCTCCTGTGCTTCTCCGGTCGTCTCATCCATAGTCGGTGGGTCCTGCTGATCCTGGGGAACATTTGTTGTCTGGGCCAGGTTCTCTGAAGTCACGTTTGGCGCCAGATTCTCTGAAATCGCGTTTGGCACGGCATCACCAGCACCTTGAACCAGTCCTCGGCGCAGGTCTCGTTCACGTGCATAGTCGCGCAGCCAGGCAGGGCGCCATTGTCCATCGAAGTATTCCTTCATCCTCCTCTGCTGCTTGAGCCATCGCTTCATACCACCTCCTCCTGTATGAGCTCTGCGCTCATCTGGCGTACGTTCACGAGCAACCCATTCTCCATGACGCCAGAATCCTACAACCGTCGGAGCAGGTGATGCCGAATCAGACGAGGACGCGGTTTCTCCATCATATTCAAGCACTTCTTCCGCTGCTGGTGTGGAGAAATTGGTAGCCTCTGACACATCTTCGCCGCAAGTTGTAGAGTCTCCAATCTCATGATCATCACTTACAGCACTTGTCCAAACTGCGAACGACGGCTCACCTCCATGTTCGTCAAGACCAAGGATCTCGAACGGTGGGCTGTCTTCATGTATCGTTCCCAGGCGTGCCTCCCTCTCTCGACGTTCCTGAAGCCTGTTGCGGATTGTGCCGTCGGCATTGTGCCAACGATCACGTCCTGCACGTTGTCGATCAAATCGTCGAGTGATCCCCATCTCATCGGTTTCCTGTTGTTCTGGGGTGTGAGTCGGAGCAGCTGAGGTGCCCACATCTTCACTGTTCGCGCTAACCCAAGAAGTTCCCCAAGGGTCAGTCGCTTCTAGTACCGTAGAGGTCGACCCAATGGGAACATCACTTTCAGCGGGGGAAGCTTGGTCAGGCACCGGTTGCCCCCAGTTCGAAGAGCATGATGACATCTGGCCTGGTTCTGCATGATTGGTTGAGCTTGTCGAGGAAGAGGTCGATGTAGTCATGCGGTCCATGGAGGTGTTCTTTCGTTTGGAGAGTTTTCCAGCCGATACCAGCAGAGTTTGGGGATCACGTCCAGGCTGTGGCACTGTCCCTTCTCGCTGAAGAGGCGGGTCTTGTTGTGGTTGTTCTGCGGGATGGCGTCGGGCTCCTCCTCGAAGTTCACGTCCATCGCGCAGTCCAGCCAGAGGATCAGCACTCTCCGTGGCAGGCTGGAAGGGTACCAATCGACTGCTGCACAGCAGGAGTTGCAGCGAGTGGGGCACCTGGAGCGAAAGGATTGTATGTGTACAGTCCTGTCTCTCCGAACTGGACGAAGTGGGAAACGTCAGTACCCGGTGCACCGATGTACGAAGTCACTCGACCATTCTGGCGATACCGGTACTCCATCATCGTGTGCTTGTTGAACCCGACATACGTCTCCTTTGCACCCACAATTCCTGCTTTGCGACGAGTGGACCTGGACTGCGAATCGAAACCTGAACGAGTAGCCATCGTCGAGCACTACAGTTGCGATGCACTGCAGAATCGCTGAGCGATGAGACACACAATGCTGATGGCGCGGACTTGAGCCAAAATGGCTCGGCTAGGGTTTAGGGTTTAGGGTTTAGTCCGTCCTACACCATTACACCCCCAAACCCCCAAAGCTACACGGCTTGGGGGTTTCGTGATTGTTCAAAGTATCATACACGGTATATGCCACGCCAAAGACCCTAAACCCTGAATCCCAAACCTTAACCCCAAAACCAGAGACGACCAATCACATAGAAACCCTCAGCCCCCCTCATTCATTGCACTTTCAAGCTGGGCGACTCAAACTCCAGGAAGGAAAGGTTTAGGGTTTAGGTTTTTTTTTAAAGTGTGTTGAAGAGCCGCAAATAAGGAGCCCAAATCCCTCCTGTCCCTTCCGGCCTCCGACATGCTCTGAAATACCGAGTCACTGTCGGATAGAGGCCTGGCGAGGTTTGCGTTTAGCACACTTTTTTTCTGGCGCTAAGGATTTAGGGCTTAGGATTTAGGGCTTACGGCTTGTAGGGTTTATAGCATATACAGAACTCGCATCAATCCTCCACCATCTCAGGCACTCAACGAGGGCGGGGTCCAAAAAGCAGAAGCCTAAAAGTTGGAAACCCGATAGCCTCAATCCCTAAGAGCAAAGTAAAGGGAATCCCAGCACGAACTGTCCTTAATATATAGGTTTCCAACTTCTTGGAGTTTACAATATCAAGACGATTGTTTTCGCCAAAGACGGCGCATCTTCGGCTTCCGGCTGGTCACGACCAGTCCTTCACTGCCACCTCCATGTGGGAGTTTCCGAAAATTATGGGTACCTTATTTTGGGGTCCTTATAATAAGGGTCCTACTACTTAAGGTTTTATATTGGGGTCCCCTATTTTCGGAAACTCCCAGGTAGATCTGGGAAACAGAGGTCTCGCACTAGAAGCTGCGCAACAACCCCTCGAAACTCAGCCAAACTGACAACATGGATTCCCACATCATCTCCCTCATATAAACACTCTCCTCATTTCCCATCATCATAAGCGCGGCTCAAAGGTTTTTAGGGGTTTGGGTTAAGGTCAGAGGCATCTGCGCGCTGCCACTGCTAGCGCTTCAGGGAGAAGGAGAGGTCTTCAGAATGCAAACACCTTGAGTCATGCCAGCTTGTGGACCAATCACGCCAGGGGTGTCGAGTATAGGGTTTGTAGGGTATGCAAATATGACTCTCTATATATATATATATATATATATATATACATGTGTATATATATATATATACAGATATAGATGTAGATATAGATACAGATATAGATATAGATATAGATATAGATAGAGATAGAGATATCGATACAGATATAGATGTAGATATAGATATAGATATAGACAGGGTTTGTAGGGCTTCGGGTTCGGGGCTTCGCCCAAGGCTTAGTTCGGGCTTTAGGACCCAGACGGTTTCGTAGGCTCTCGACAGTTTAACAACCCTGTGAAGTCATGAAATCTGCGAAACTATAGGGTTTAGGGGTT